CAGACTTGCAAGGGGGGAAAAAAAGAAGAATGAACAGGAGGGTAGATAAAATAGTGCAACAATGAATGAATGGAAACCCCAAATCTCTGTAAATGTTCATTAAAATTAATAACATTTAATAATAAAAAAAGAATATAAAAAGGTCATTATCTTATTTATCCATTCTTCAGATATAAATGTGGAACCTTATATGACATATGAGTATAGGATTTCTGCATGGAATAGCTATGGGCAAGGATTCAGCAAAGCTGTTAGAGCCAGAACAAAAGAAGATGTGCCCCAAGGAGTGAGTCCCCCTCGATGGAGTAAAATGGGTCATCCTGAAGATACAATAGTCTTGAACTGGAAGAAACCTATCCAACCAAATGGTATGAAGCTACTCTTAAATTAAAGATACTTCAACCTGCCCCCAACACTTTCAGTACTCACAATATACAGATCATCTCAAACTCAAGTCATTGTGGTTAAGTCAGAACCTACTCATAGCTTTCCTTCCATTGAGTTTCCAAAGCTGTAAATTGCATAGTAGTAGATTCCAGCTTGCCTCTATGTTGTCAGTGCAACTCCTAACCCACTAGGTCACCAAAGCTCCCTCATATGTCCATAAAGAAACTAAAATTAGTATAATCTACATTTGATTGCTGTTCATTTAAACACTGAGGAGTATTTTTGATAAAGGAAAATTTTGTTTGCCAAATAGCATGAAATACATTAGAATGATCATATGAAACATAATGTGAATTGAGAAATGTGTGAAATATATACTAACAAAATACAGTGCATTCAAATTTTTGTGCAAACCAATATATAATAAAGAAAATTTTAGAAAAATAATTTTAGTCAAAACAAAGTTTTCTTGAATTTCAGCTTAAGTCTAAGCTATTTTCAACCAAGCAAAAGACACTTGGAGAAGATATTTTAATCTTAACATTGAAAAAGAAAAAGACTTATTTGGTGGTAAGGAGAAATAAACATATATGGCTTGATTATCTGTGCCACTAATATACCTTCACCAATAACATAATTAAGAACTACTTGAGCATTGCCGCATAATAGCAAATTAAATAATGCTAGGACATCCTATTTCTTCAGAACACTAAGGGATAGAAGTTGTTTGCAAATATGTGGCATCCTATGACACTGAACATACCTCTTTTTCTTTGGTTCTTTAGGTCTTATTATGTATTACATTCTTCTCCGAAATGGAATTGAATGCTTTAGAGGAACATCATTGAGTTTCTCTGATACAAAGGGAATTCAATCATTTCAGGAATATTCATACCAGCTGAAAGCTTGCACTGCTGTTGGCTGTACTGCCAGTAGCAAGGTAAGAGAAGTTTCCTGAAATGCTAGAAAAAAAGAATCCAATGTATTTACATACTTCGCCCTACCATCTCTTCTTAGGTGATTTTCTGTAAGTTTATAAAAAAAATTCTCAAGGCCTTCCTCAATTGAATATGTGTTTTTCACTTAATTTTTTGTTAATTGCTAACTCTTGAAAATTGAGGGAAAGGCAAAAGGAACATGACAAGACAATTAAAACTGTTCATAGACTACATCTAAATAGTAGACAAGAAATTATAAAGAACTGAATGTAAGCTTCAGGGGTAGGAATAGGGGAAACTAGAAAGATAGAAAATATATTGTAGATTAGAATCTACAAGGACAGTTGACTTTATAAACTTTGTTTTTTATTGTCACTTGAGTGAAGATTTACGAGGCAACCAATAATGTACATGTTGTTCAACAATATTCATTTCAATACTCATGGTATAATTTCACTTCCAACTTCTTCCCTGTAAATCTGATTTCCCTTGATCCTTCTATACCACTCTGTGTCTTCCTTTTCTTTAGTGATACTATGCTGACCACCCCTTCTTTGAAATTGCCTTTCCTTTACCTATCTTGATACTATCTTAATATTAATGTATATTATCTCCAGTTGCTCCACACAAGAGAGATGGATAATCTCTTCCCATGATATTAAAAGCCTGGCACAACCTACCAGAGGAGAGGGTCAGTTATAAGTCAGTTCTGACAAAAAGGCACAAAACCACATTATCTATTTATTAATTTTTGCTCAGAATTCCTTCCTCATTCCTGGAAATTAAGAATTATTCTGAGTGTAAACATTTTTTCCTTTGCTTTTTGTACCTGTGTTATTATGCAATATTTCAAGAACAGTCAACTTTAAATAGAGAAATAAGGAGTCAAAAATATTTTTAAGGTCTCTAGTTTGAGCAATTTGTAGATAATAGTGTCATTTTGCCCAAATAAGTGAAATACAAACACCAAAAGAGGAAAATGTTTAAGAGAAAATAATGGAAAGATTAAAATTTTAAAGGTCGTACAAAATTAAGAGAACAAAATACACCACAGGGAGAGTGGGAGACACAGATGTCTAGTGCAAAACTGAATTGAAAAGTGATTAGATTTTGCTAGAAATACATGGGAATTTGAAACAATGAACTTGGGCATGGTCGTCTAAGGAAAATATGTGAGAGGAACTGGGGCTCATTCATAGTATTCTCCCCTTCCTTGAAGGGGACTGTAATGTCACCCTAAACTTGGCATTTTTAGTCTCATCTTAGCCACCTCTGGTCTCCAGCTTTCTTAACTGCAGACACATGGTCTTGCAAATCATCAACAGCTGTGAGACTAGAATAAGAAAAAGAAGGCTCTCCTACTAGGCAACAAGACTTGAGGGAGACTGGAGGAGCAAGATCCTGGTGGTGAGACCCTGGTGATGGTGGTGGAGAGACTGTGGCATTGGTGTGAAGAAACAGTGACACGGTGCAACCAGAGGATCTCTGAGATAAAGGCCACAGTTAAAGGTTTTGCTAGACTTGCTAGAAAAATTAAGGAGAAGCTGACTTATAACAACTCTGAAAGGCAAGCCTTGCTGGATGATTTGGTTTGACTGCTGAACTAAAACCACAGCCTAACCTAATTGAGGAATTGTGACTTGGGACTTCTGGGCTAAAAGCTGGATTTATGATATTCTTTGCCTTCTCTACTCTCCAACTTATTTTTTTTAATAAACCCCATTTTCAGTACCACAACTGTAAAGTCTATAAGCGAACCTCTTGCCATTGGTGTGGCTCTTGAGGCACATTGTTTCTGGACTATGAACTCTTTATCTGCTTTCTACTCTGGTACAGTGAAAGACTGTGCTTTTCTCACTCTCTCTAGCCCTTTCAGAAAGATGCTTCCAGCCCTGTACCATTACATCCCATTTTCTGCTCTCCATATAGAGACCTAAGTTTGAGTCCCAGTCAATATACCTCAAGCACAATCATCACCCATGTTTCAGAAGAGTGAGTTGTTATGAGACTGAACAAGTTTCAGCAGACCTTCAAAACTAAGATGGTCTAGATAAAAACCTGGTCAGCCACTTCCTAACTTCAGCCAATGAAAATCCTCTGGCTCACAATGAGTCATTTATCTCGTCATGGGGAAGATGCAGAACAGGCAGAGATCATTACTTTTTATTCTTGGTGGGGCTCCTATGAGGTTCAATACCTAACAAAGATCTATATAATGAACTGTAACACTAGGGAGGCATTCACTCCTTGGAATAATCAACCACATAAGGTCAAAAGGGCAGTATTTGCCCACAGATAAAATTCAGAAGGGATGAAAGAGTAGGGTAGAGAGATTAATGCAAATGAGAATCACAAGGAAGAAGTAGGAAGAGAGTATTTGCATTGTGTATATAGTAATTAATGTCATAGAACAAAAGGTGTATGAATTGCTGAAAGGAAATCCAGTATGCTTTGTAAACTTTCATTCAGATCACAATAAAATAAAACAAAAAAGGAATATAGAATGATAAAAGCACAAGACCATGGATGAGAGCATTGCAGAACACAGCAATATGAATGAAGAAAAAGTAACAGAGAGAGAATATATGAAAAATAATTTTATAATAGCCAGCTTATCAGAGGAAGCCTAGGAGGAAATACTCACACGATGGTTCAGATTCTCCTCACAAGACTAGAACTTCAGAATAGCAACACAGTGCAAGAACCACACAAATATAACATTTAGCCAACCTGATCCACCAAAGTGCAAGTGTTCAACAGACTCTGTTGAATGAATCCCCAGAAACATCTCTGAGTGTGCAACCGTTTGGACAGATGGCAGCTCACCAGCCCCAGTCAAAAGTCTGAATGATTCTCAAACAACCCCATGATTTTGCAAGACAAAGTTCATGCCTACTATATGATGTAACAATTGGGCAAAATGTGAAATCAATGTTTATTCTGTGGTCGAAAAAAAGATCTAGGTAATTTTCTTTTACAACTTTACGTTTATAGTTTTTAATAATTATCTGGTTGAAAATCCTTTTCTAATTACTCTTTTCCCTCTGGAACATAGGTGCAACCACTATAAAGTCATTCTGGGTATCACAGAAATAGTATAGCAGTGTCTACCCACTTATTCTATTCAAAGCATGTTATATGCAAGCCAGTTTGAATGTAGGTTTTGCTCCATATTTACCGGTGCTTAAAATGTACAAAATCAGGCTGTTAAAATGCAAAGACACTGATGAACCATATGGAAGAAAGTTATCAAGAGTTCTCTAGTAAGAGTCTGCCAGCCAGATTTCACTTGTTTAAACTGAGGGTTGCACTCTGCCGTCAGAATTGTTGTTGAACCTGTTGTGATAAATGGTAGTCTGAGACTTATGTAATGTATTCAAGGTCAGATTTCATTGTTTAAATAGGATGGGAGGGAAAGAATAAAAAAAGGGGACTGCTTCTCCTAGCCCCAGCTAATGATATGCCAGGCCAGACAACAACATTTTAAAACAAAAGTGACATTCTCATTGATCAGGATACCTAGTGTACTATTACAATAAATTGCTGTTTAATTCCTCTGTCTTCAGGTAGTTGCAGCTACTACTCAAGGAGTTCCAGAGAGCATTCTCCCACCAAGAATCACAGCCCTAAGTGTGGAGGCTTTGCATTTGAGCTGGAGCGTCCCTGAGAAACCAAATGGTGTCATTAAAGAGTACCAGCTCCGGCAGGTTGGAAAAGGTCTCATCTACACTGATACCACTGACAGGAGGCAGCATACGGTCACAGGTGAAAAAAAAAAGAAAAACGGTAACCTACAGGTGGAGTCTGTCATTGTGGTTAGTGGGGAATAGCATCCCAGGGGTGTGTGTTTGATATATGAGGTCACTTCAAAAGGACGTGTTCCCTTGACATATGGTCAGGTCCCACTTATCCATGCTAACAGAAGAGCCCACACTGGCAGCAATAAGCCACAACAGCAGATAACTTCAGAAATAATTTCTATTAAGCTTTGATATATATCAAGAGCAGGATTTTTGCATCAGGCCAGAACTTTCTTTGGGGCGAAATTGTAAAACGTGTTTTTATTCCTCTGGGATATATGGATAGATAATAGGAGTAGGATAGACACTAAGGTACTAGAAGACCAGGGGAAAATCCAGCTAGTAGCTAACATTTTTATTAAGTAGATAATTAATATAGAGAGCTAGTTGGAAGCAGAGTAAATATGACTATTTGTTATTATTTTTATTAATAGTAATTAATGGCCATTGTTTTAGCTTAACAAATTACATGACTTATTAGAATTTTTTTTGGTGAAGTAATAGATAGATGTAATATTATATATAAAATATAACAATATGTTGTTAGATATTTTCTAGTAGTGGGTTATGAAAGTAATAAACATGTTCTGGTTTAGATGTTACTTTTGAGAGGAAGCCTAAAAGAAGTCTAAAATAGATTATCAATTCCCCACCATATGGGGTCACTTTTGGAGGCTACTTCTATTTCAAGGAAGATTTCATACACAGAGCTTGATGACAACAATCATCTTTTATTAGAATAATTATGTTAATGTTTGTTTTAACATAATTTTATTTCTTACAAAGTTATAAAATTCTGTTTTATCATATATATAAAAGAGTGTTTAATTTGAGCAATACAGTCCTAAATAAGGATTTGTTAAAGGAGGACAGAAACCCCCAATTCAGCAAAATCATATGGAGCCTCTCATAGCAGTTACAATGGAAAACAGGGCTAGACAATAACTAATTTAAAACTTCATATATGTATAATATAATATGTGGGGTTGTGTTTTGTTTTTTTTTAATCTGTCAGATTGCATTCTGTTTCAGGGTTGGCAACTGACCAACTTCAGTTAGGAAGTCTTTTATAATGAGAATGATGAGTCTATTGAGTTCATGGAAGGAGCAAAAGAACCGAATCTATTTCACATTCCATCTTAGATATGTGATGGAAGAGCGTGCCTGACCCCCTTAGGGTAACAGTTTTGATTTTCTCATCATTTCCAAAACGCCAGCATTCCCAAAGCACCCGTCGAAAACTAATGAAGCTGTAGCGGTCGTCTTCCTGGAGCCTGCAAATCTAGGTCCTTAGAAATGATAGACATCACGTGAGCACCTTGCCTTCGCTCCATTGTCTCCACGCTTATTTTTAATTACATCAAAGCTTAAGAAACATGATCCCGTAAATGCTTTGTGGGAATAGTGGCAAATGCACTCATCACATGAAATCCATAAATTGCTTATAATCCTCTCAAGATGTTAAAAAAAGCATTAAGTAATTGAAGACAGGAAGTCCTCAGTTAATTATTTAGAGGTGTTATCAATGCTTTAAGTAAACTGGGGCACTTTCTGCTATCTCACTGAGCTGAATACCATGGGGACAAGCAGAGTAGCGCCATCATCTTCTCATATTCACTAATGCAAACAGCACATGGCAGCTTGTCAATAAAAAACCTTTTCATATCATTTATTACCGAACACAGTCACCATCCCATACAAAGCAATTTGGATATCGGTGAGGGCATTGTTTCTCTTTGAGGTGCCCCTACAGGTGGGCCTCCCAATAAGTGCAGTGAGGTGGAGAAGAGGGTAAAAGGATTAACTAAATAATTAGGACCACTGAGAGAAAAGTGAATTAAGCATGTCCTTTTTAGCAGCAAGTATGTATGATAAGGGCCTATATGTCTCTTAACTCTGGGGAAAATGTTCTCAAAATAATTGATTAAAAGGTCTCATCATTGCATTTCACTTCAAATGAAAGATGCACCAGTCTGAAGTTAACAAGGAGAGAGAACAATTTGCCTTCCTTTCCTGTCTTTTTAGAAGCCCACGGAAGGCTCTTGTACCTTCTTCTTTTCAATTTGAATGAATCTGGCTATAGCAGACAGCATACTACTGATGTAATAATGAAGTAAATATTCAATATATAACTTCTGGAGGGGGAAATAGAACATAATGTATCTATCAATATGATAAAATATACAGATTCTTTATTAAGGGGCTTTACATTAAGGAGTCATTGGGTGGTGCAAATAGTTAAGCATTTGAGTAGTAATCAAGAGACTGGTAGTTTAAGTCCATGCGGAGATGTGTGAAGAAAGGCTTAATTATCTCCTTCAATAAGGTCACAGCCTTAATAGCTTATTACGGAGTGCACACACTATTCAACTACGGGCCAAAATGTTTGCACTTAGAGGCACCTCTGAAGACAGTTCAGGTGATCTGGCTTTGAAAAATCACAACTTTGCAAACCCAGCAGAGCAGCTATACTTTGCACACACAGGGTCACCATGAGCTGAAACTTGACAGCAATTAACAACAACATTTTCAATGAAGCCAAGTGGTGAGTTAGGGGAGTCAGGCCCAACATTCACTTTAGATGAACTGGTAATGGAACAGGCTACCTAGCTAGCTACAAGATGAACCTGCTATCCACCTAAGCTGTTTTTAAAGTATCCCAGGACTCTCAGCTTTTGACTGTATCACTAGCTGAGCTGACCAAACTTTGAAATGATAGGTTGTTTAGGAAAATTTGCAGAGCTCTGGGGTTGTTGTTGTTGCTGTTATGTGCCATCGAGTCACTTGCAACTCATAGTGACCCTATGTACAACAGCCCTAAACCCTGTTCTATCCTGTGCCAATCGCACTGCCTCTGACACACCCAGCCCGATTACCCCAGTCACTGAATCAATCCACTTCATAGAGGGTCTTCCCCTCTTGCGCCATCCCTCCACCCTCCTTAGCATGATGTTCCATGTCCAAAGTATGTCAGATGAAGCCCCAGAATCCTTGCCTCCAAGGAGCAGCCCGATTTAACTTTCTCGTGGATGAATAATCTATACATTCAATACTCTTCTCCAGTACCACAGCTCAAAGGCATCAATTCTCCTTCTATCCTCCCTAGTCATTGTCCAACTCTTTGATGCATAACAGTGATTGCAAAGACCATAGCCTGGATCAGACACACCTTAGTCTTCAGAGTGACACCATTGCTCTTCAGTACCCTGAAGAGGTCCCTAACAGCAGACCTTCCCATGGCAAGACGTTTTTTGATTTCCTGGCTACTGGTGCCGAGAGTGTTGACCGTGGAGCCAAGCAGACTAAAGTTGTTAACAATCTCAATCTCTTCACCATCCATCCTGATGCTGCTGATTGGTCCAGTGGTGAGAATCTTTGTCTTCTTAACATTGAGCCTCAATCGATACTGAAGGCTGCAGTCCTTGACCCTCTGCAGCAAGCATTTCAGGTCCTCCTCGGCAATGGTTAATGTGTTCAACTGCTTAATCAGAGCTTGGTGGTCGACTGCAACTCTGTAACAGCTGTGGATTCTGTAAAGATATACAGCCTTGAGTACTCTATAGGCATTTCTACTCTCTACTATAGGACTGCTGTGAGTCAGAAGAGATTAGATGGCAGTGGTTTTGCTGGGTAGGACTATTTGCCACTCTTTAGACAATGACAGATGACACTATGGAATAATTGGCTAAATCCTTTGAAGTAGCACTTGCTATGTGAAATTATAATGGACAAAGTGCCTTTTGCTGACAATTTATCTGAAGATTAAAAATTAGAAGCAAGCTGTTCTTTATAGTATATATCAAATATAACTTGTGCAAGTGTGAGTTTTGTTGTCCAAATCATATTTTTTATGATCCATAGGAACACTTTTTTTTGCAGTTCCTTTTTAACATACATTTACTCTTGAAAGTAATGTTACTTGAAGTGTAATTATAGTGAGCTTGATTATATTATGCCTCTTTCCTTTAAAAGAGAACATGATTCCCAGTAGGGAAATTCAGGTAATTTGCAGCTACAGTAATCTTCACTATCCTGAAATGTTAAATACTTGGCTTTTCTCCATGCATTTCCCTTTCTCTGCTCTACAACTGCCATTTCCTTCTCTTCAATGCTGAGCACTTGAATGATGTTTTCTTTTCTCCTTTTACTCTTTGACTTCAGGATTAAGTTACAGCAGAACGGTTCCTTTGAGACATCCCTTTATTTCCCTTTTCCCATCCTGATCAATTCATGAGTAGTTTTCTATTGGTGTGCCCTTTTCATTGTCTGTTGCTAATATTTCATGTGTATCTCATTTTAAGGACTACCAATAGGGGCTTCCTTAAAATGACAGTAAATTCCAATTGAAATGTGTTGATTTTATTGAGTTTCACAGAGTCATCTATGTGGAAGGTCATTTAGTTCATCTATGCCTGATGGTATTGGATGGTCTCCTAACAGACTATTCATGCCAAGCCTATTAGTTATCCAATCCTCCTACAATATGAAAAAATATAAGATATAAGAAATAGGATGCAAGTATTTCAGATTCAGATATTGCCCAAAAATGCTCAAGTGACAGACAATGAAGAAAAGTACCTAAAGCTCAGGGAACTTGCCCATGATCATGATTTATAAAGAAGTAAGTTATTAGAAAATATCAGAATGCTTATAGTCTAACTTTAAACTTTATTTTCTTAACTCCTAACAGTCCTATCTCAGTACATGAATGCTTGTAATGTTTAAAATGCAAATAATTAAATGTAAATTCCACATAGATTTTCGTTAAATTATTGGAAAAATACCCAGGCCATTGAAATATACCTTTGTTTCTATTTTTCTAACAAGACTTAAAAGCCTGACTCATCTGTTCTGGGTCACATTTTTCAGTAGAGTGTCACTCAGCTGAACAATGCATAGATCTCCAGTAGTTCAAACCTACCAGTAGTTCTGAAGGAAAACATGGTGGATAATCACATCCAATTA